CGAAAGGGCCACCCTCCCAGTAAAGTCCGGAAGGCTGGGGAACCCCCGGAGTGCCTCCTCCACCCTAACTACCCTCGCCACTAAATCATCCCTCTGTACCTCGCCCACCTCCTTCCTGATCCCCCTAATCTCCTCCTCCACGCTAATGAGCCTTCCCGATAGCTCCCCTAGTCGCTCCTCCAAGCTACAGACTCTGCATACCTGGCATACCTCTCGTTCACTAGTCCCACCTACCCAATCCCCGCAACGAACGCATCTACACATCCTAGGCATCTTACTTAATGTTATTGATCCCTATTGACACTCCTACTGCTTTAGACTTATACTTTGCAGTACTTCACACTAGTTGTAACCCGGTAAGACTGTACTGTCCTGGTCCTTGTAGTAAAAGGAATACTATGAGTAATGAGCTAATACTTAAAGTAATTAAGCTGGTTGATACTGACCTAATGTGAAGTTGGAGGTAGCTATCAGAAAATTTATGAGTACTGCTACAAAGTAGCCAGGTAACAACTAACTCACGACTTAGCTGACAGAACCTCGAGAGTATCCTCCAACACGTCCTCACGCTACGAACGCTCGACCAAGACTGATGAGTTTTGCAACACTATTACTAACATGACGTTCAACGGACCCCATTTGCTCGGATACGTTTATCTTTTAATCTCCTTTGGGGAAGGGTTAACGAACGAACAGGTGCTTCAGGAAGTGTTTCTACTGTAACTATGGAATTTACGGTAGCACAGGGACACATAACCTGTTGTGAGTGTCCGTGTGCTGCCGTTTTTCATACTTCCATTCATCGTATCCATGCGGATCCCTATCGTTAGGAATGCAACAGTTTTGTGTGTGGCTTATCCATTTATATCGCTGGGGAATATATATTTGTACTATCGTAATATACTCTACAGAGTACGTGACATTAATTAAAAACTGTGGCTGAGGGAGATTTGTCCCAATACATTTTGTAATATGTAGCGCATATACTCTCATTGAAGGTACGCTTTCTCAATATATTATTCCGAAAGCTGTAAATATGTCTCGACTGCTGATCTTTCCTTCTCCCATATGATAAAGTTAATAAAGTTAATTCTTATCAAATTGCTGCCATGAATTTACTTGTGACACCTTGGAGACCAATAGGTTATGTAGATTACAAATTGAAACGGTTGAAGGACCGAACCATGGTGGATTCCTTCTGTGACTTGCACTTCCAGCGAGAATCTCCAACTAAAACTACACTCTGCTTTCTTTCCTACATCCATTTTATAAAACAGTTTCTCACCCTTCCTGGAATCCCTTGTGTCTCCATATTAGCCAGCAACCTCATGCAGAGAAAGACGTACTTGAAGTTTTGGCAAATGAAGTCCACTGAATTTCTTCTGTACAACCTTCATAAACAAATATCGGACTTCTAGCAGAGTGATAAACCAGACTTGCTGTCTTCTGATGCAGTACTGAAATTCCTGGATAAGAAAATATTTTCAAGACGTTCATTGGCGTCGTCTGTGCTAACAATGATATTTCCAGGGATGCCCACGAGACTCACCTATCCGTAGATTTCCGGAAGGCTTTGATAATCCTTCAACGTCACTAAAGCGTTCGCTAATATTTTCTCTCCAGGAGCCTCACAACGGAGATTAGTTTCGTCAAAAAGGTTTTTTTTTTCTGTGCCATTAGTACTTTCTGTAGTCCATTAATGACAAGTACCAAAAGAAATCAGGACCAGCTCATTTTTCTGCCCTTAGATTTCTTACCTGTGATTTATTGTTGATTTATTGTTGAAGTGAGTTGATTTTAGTGAATACTATACAGCACAAAAATTGGCTTGTGTTTTGGAATAATACATGCACTTACAATTCGATGTTATCCACTTATATGAGCAGGAAAATGCATGCATGCAGTAGGAGTAGAAGCTGGAGACTCCCGGGACGAGCTCGGTCGCTGGCGTTTCCTGCCATTTGAGCCCGAGTTCCACATCAATCCTGATAATCGCAAAGGATATAAATGGAAATGGTTTTCTTGTCACAGTTACTATTCGTTCTCTGAAGGACTTCAGTGTTGCTCAGACACCGTTATCTCATTCCATTACATCTCACCGGAGCAAATGCATATTCTGGAGTATTTAATCTACCATGTCCATCCATATGGCTTATAGTGCTGCAAGTACTCTTGAAATTAAACACCACTATTTCACATGTAGGAAAGGGATATTTCATATGTAGAAAACCATCCAACACCAATGTCATGTAGATCATCGTGATGCTCTGCAAGTGATGGTTGATTGGTGGAAATTAGGATGGTTTTGCTTATTATGACTTAGCGCGATCTCCAGAAATTCATGTAATAAACCATATCAAGTGTGTTTTTCATTTAAAATATTATTCATCTCCAAATCATAGAAAATTCCATTGTTACTCGTGCGCAGTTTTAATTAAATAAACGTTCAAATTTAGATGGATGTAACCTTTCCCTATGCTTTCGATATTGTCTCTTGCATCAATGAACTTTCGGTGGTATGAGGACATTTACATCCAGGTCTAACAATGGGCGGGGTAAATAAGGCATATGTTCTATTAAACGAATCGTTCCGAACGATTGCCACAACGGGCTCATTTCGACGCAAGTCTCAATGAATTAACCACGAGATGCTTTGCGGACTGGCAACATTGCCGGATGTCACCACCCAGAACAACTACTTTCCCACCGAATCGGTTATCGTCCATCGAATCTCGCAACGCCCATTCGATCGTTGCCCGCGCTTCAGTGGGCGCCATGGGCGCTTCATCCCAAATGAAGACATCGGTAGCTCGAATCATCGCCTAATTTTTGTGCAATTAACGAAACTTTTCGTGTGTGTGCTGACCCATTGTGCAAGTCAAAAGGCCGTGCGACGCGTCATCCCAATAGGCAGCAAATGGTATATGGAAATGACACAATATGGAAAGAATCGTGGCAGATCAAGAAACGGGACAAACGTGGGAAAGAAACGGAGAGTTTACAGGGTGACACAAAAGTTCTGTACACTCGGTTATCTCAACTTTTTATAACCATTTTTAAAGAACTCACAAATGGGGACAACGCTATTAGAAACTACGACCATTTCAACAGATAATGCCCGCAAATTCATTCAAAATGACCACCTTTTGCTGTAATACAATCGCGAAGAGTCTTTCGGAAAGCATCGGCTGCGGCACGCAGTGATTTTTGCCTTGTGGGCTGGCACAGAGTCCTGTTGGAAAGTCCATTTGCGGTTTACGAAGTGCTTTTTGACCCAGGGCATTACAGTATCCTCCAGGATAAGGTCACGATAGGCAATCGCGTTGATCTTCATGGCAGACGGCACAAAAACCAGGGGCGTGCGCCCCTCTGCAGTGATACCCGCCCACACCATCACAGAAGCTGGCATCTGTGTTCGAGAGACACGTCGGAGGTCTTGAGAGATACCTGACGACTCTGCTGCCCATACTCGATCATTTTGAGAGTTAAATGATTGCTCGATCGTGAAGAGCTTCTCGTCAGAAAAGAGGATATTGCGATGGCAGCCATCTGCGAACCGACGGAGAAGGGCCTGCGATCGTTGCAGCCTAGTTTTCTTCGCTTGCTCCGTGAGATGTTGAGCGTTTTGGAGTTTGAAAGGCCGAAGATTCAGCTTGCTCTTGACAATTCGCCGGAGCGATTCGCGATTTATCTTAGTCGTTTGGGCCATTTTTCTCAGCGATTGCTTGGGATTTCGACGAAGCCGAGATCTAAC